TTATTTTAATGAGAAAGATTTAAAGAGTCTTGAGTGGAGACTTTTACACCTAATAGTATGATACTGCATTCATAAGACAGAATTTTAAGTTTCTGAAGGGGAGAAAAATGGTTAATAACTATACTGATGAGGGTTGATCCTAGAAAAGAAGAGAACTATGCTTTTGTAAATAGGGATTAGAATATACTAAGTATTGCCTATATTTTGGGAGGTAAAAAGATGTGAATTTTAATCTTGCATATTCTGTGCTCTCTGAAAGTTAGGGCGGAAGAAAGAGTAAAGGTTCCAGAGGGTAAAAATTTGCAGTCATTGTAGAAAGTGGACAAGTGAATGGTCAATAGGTGAAGGAACAAGAAAAGGAAGGATGAGTGACTATTTCATTATTTCTGATTCCATCATTCTTTCTGGCGTGGCATTTAGGAAGTTTTAAGGCTACCTTTGAGAATCAGTGTTCCTGGACTTTTTTCTGCTGCAGCGTGGCTTTGCTGAAAGAAGTGAGGAGAATTGCCCATTCTTCTCTGTCACAATTAGGTCATTTATATCATCAATTATAGCATTGCTTCTGAAGCATGGGGTGAATCACCTCCTTAGTAAAGTGTGTATAAAACTCTGAGACAGAAAACTGTACTGTGTATGCTGTGTGTATTTGTGTAGTTGAAGTGTTCATTTTATAATTCAGGTATGACATGAGAAAGTTGTCAATTTCCCCTTAAGAAGAGAATGCTGAAAGTAGACCAGAATTTAGGAATTTTCCTACAAAAATATGACATATTCAAATTTATAACCATTTGAATGTAAAACATTTATTTATCACCAACATATTTATGAAAATTTCACTAATATTCAATTGATATATTGTTAGTAAATTTTTCTTTATGTCAAAGTTCTGCCTTTGATTAAATTATTAAATGTTTTAGAGCAGTAGTACAGCAATTAGAATTCCACCTAAAGAGTCCTACAGCTAATAAACAAATTCAACAAAATAGCAGGATACAAAATTAATATACCAACTCAGTAGCATTTCTGTATACCAACAATGAACCAACCAAAAAAGAAATCAGGAAACAGTCCCATTCACAGTAGCTTCAACAAAAATTAAAAACATGGGAATTAACCTAAGAAAGGAAGTGAATGACCTCTGTGAAAATTATAACACTCTGAAAAAAAGAGATTGAAGAGAATACCAAAAAATAGAAAGACATCCCCTGTTCCTGGATAGGCAACACCAATATTGTTTAAAATATCATATTACCAGGACAGAGGAAAAGAAAAAATATCAGAAAAGAATGGAAACAAAAGTTTTTTTGTAAATAGGGAGGGATGGAAGGAAGGGAAGAAGAAAGGGGAAAAAACAAGAATCAAGATACAACATGTACAGGTACAAATTCCCAATGATGAATGTGATCATAATGTACATCTAAAATGTACCAATAAACTTAATGAATAAAAAAAGTAAAAAAATAAAATAAAATGTCATATTACCAAAATTGACATACAGATTTAATGTAGTTCTAATCAAAATACCAGCAGCATTCTTTACATAACTAGACAAAAAAAAAAAACTTCCTAAAGTTTATATGGAACCAGAAAAGCAAAAATAATCCTGGGCAACAAGAAAAATTCAGGAGGCATCACAATCCTGGATTTCAAGTTCTATTACAAAGCTACAGTAAATAAAAACAGCATTATACTGGCACACACACACACACACACACACACACACACACATACACAGATGGATCAGTGGAACAGAATAGAGGATGCAGAACAACTCCAGAGAGTATTGGGAAAAGGTAGTTATTGATGTGCTGAAGAATGAATCTAGGTTCATATTTCTCAAATCATCAAAATGGATTAATATCCATTCAATATATTCAATGTGCTGAAAGAAAAACTTGACAAAACTAATAAAGACATAGGCATATGCAAGAACTGTTTGAACAAAACACTAATTGTGCAAGATAGAACACCAACAATTAACAAATAGAATACAAAAATTTAAAAGCTTCCACACAGCAAAGGAAGCTACAGGAGGAAGAGACATCCTACAGGGTAGAAAAAAATTTTCCAAGCTACCCTTCAGGTAGATAATCTAGAATATACTGAAGAAACAAAAATTGTGTCTCCAAAACAGCAGACCCAATTTTTTAAAAATTGGGCATTGAAATGAGTAGACTTTATTCCAAAGAAAAAACATACAAGTTACAAATAGGTACATGAATAAGCACTCAGCAAATTTGGCCATTAGAGAAAAGCAAATCAAAACAACCTACGTCATCTTACTTCCCAAAGAATGGCTATTATCATGAATTCAAAAAAACTGCAGTGTTGGTGAGGCTGTGGGGTAAATGGCACCTTTTTACATTGTTGGTGGATTGTAAACTAGTATAACCACTGTGGAAATCAGTATAGTGATTACTTAGAAAAGTAAAAGTAGAGAATTCATTTTGCCCAGGTGTACCTCCTCTGGATTTTCCCCTGGAAGGGTTAAAGGTGTGATATTACAGTGATACATGTATACCCATATTTATAACAACACAAGTCATGATAGCTAAATCTTGGAACCAGCCCACATATCACCAACAGGTAAACAAAGAAAACGTGGTACTGAAGGACACAATTGAGTCATTCAGAAGAAAATGGATGCATCTTGAGACCATTATGCTAAGTGAAAATAAATCAGATACAGAAGGATAAATATTGCATGGTTTCTTTTAAATGAGAAACTCAAAGATTAAATAATATAAGAGCCACATAAAAGATAGATGACAGCAAACCAGGGGATAGACATTGTGGAGATGTAAAGGGGATCCAGAGATGGAGAAGATGAGAGGGAGGTGAGGGAAAGGGAAAGTAAAAGTAATCAGGATGCAGTGTGTGTACACACCAATCCCAATGAGGATTGGGTTTATGATGTATCACACACATACGCTAATAAAACAGGGGAAAAGTAAATTACTGATCCATATAAGGTTACTGTCTGGAAAGAGTAAATGCATGTTCTGAGAGTGTAATTGGATCTTAGAGAGTTATTTACTCACCTTTATGATAGAGATAAATGAGTCAGCTCACAATAATGATATTGAACAGTTACATTCATTTCACAAATAAATAAACTAATGCTCAGAAGAGACAGGACCAGAGAGCTAAGAATCCAGGCTATATTTTCAAAGTAAAAAGACCAAATTCCCACTGTCTAGCTAAAAAGAAAAAAAAAAAAAAACTACACACTTAAAAGCAATCAAAATGAATTTCTGCAAGTCTTTATATAGAGTATTAGGTTTAATTCTTTCCTATTAATAACTCTAATTATTATAGTTAATATATTAATATGGTCTTGCAGTAATAGAAATGCTATAATTTTTTGACACTCTTTAAAGAAATCATACTAAGGGCCGGGGATTTAGCTCAGCAGTTCGGTGGCCTGCCTTGCAAGCGCAAGGACCCGAGTTCAATCCCAGGTACCAAAATATAAAAAAAATAAAAAATAAAAGATGAAATCATACTAAAACCCATTAGTCTGACTCCCTCTCTTGTGAGTATTTGAGGATAAGAATTGCTGTTAAGTAATATGGTTAAAATGCTTATAAGCACAAGTTTTGATGTAGGAAACATGTAGCTTTAATACTGGCTTCCTTCCTTACTGAGAACTGAACAATAAACTCTACATTTTACTTTCCCCACCTATAAAATGAAAGGGAAAATACAAAATTCATAGCTCATTATCAGGGTTAAGTGAAAGAATTGTATAAATCCTAGCACTAGACCTATAAACAAATAGATATACTCACCACACACCATTCAACTTTTGCTAGAATAATTTAAAGAGCTCATTACTTCAGAGACTAGACCCTAAGCTTAGATCTAAAATTAGATCTAAGCTGGTTTACATTCCCCTGACATGTTTCTTTTCTTGGCTTTTTTTCTTCCTTTTGGCACTCAAATGCTATAAAATAAATTTCCATCCTCTTCATAAAATAATAAAGGAAAAATAATTAGAAAACATTCAACATAAAATATACTAGTATTTGTATTTGTCTGGAAGGGACTTCCCACAGCTTTAATCACAGCCAAATTATTTCAAATCAGATACATCTTTTGGATATTTAACTATGTATTCTCACATCATATAATTTAAATGTTGTCGTTTATTCTGTGCTTTACTGTGATTCTGTGATATGTCTTAAATTAAAAAAAATAAAATATGCTACAGTTGTGAGTTGTATCACTGAGACTCTACAGTAAAGACACACACGTGGAAAAGAGGTTACAATGACAAGAAAAATTACCTGTCTTCTTAGTCACTAACTGAAATGGATCTGAAGTTTATACAACAGAATCATGGTAGAGACGTCTGGCCTGTGACATTACAACCTTTTGCTGTGAGACTTCTAACAAACTCTAATATATTTAGAGCCTGATGATGTAATCTTTTTGCAGAGAAATTTAAGCCAAGAGCAAAGTGTCATGTTGAAGTTTTCAAATGGCCTATTTAATAATTTACATTTTAAGAACACAGAAGAATTGGGAAACTACTTAGTGATGAAGCACTTGCCTAACATGTGAGGTCTTAGGTGTCAACCCAGCACTGTAAAAACAACACAAAAATAAAGGAACTCATAGAAGAACATTTTCATAGATGAATTTTTTATTGCAGGTTTTCTCTTTGCTACTGTGTTAATAGTGGAAGCGGTAAAATGACTTAATAGAAAAAGACAATTTTCTTCATGTGTTGTCTGAGGTATTCACTGATTTTATATGCACTAGTAATGTGAATGAGGTGATTTATTTGACTCTGGTGGGACAAGATTTTCAGTCAGAAATACAAAATTCACACATAACTCTTCCAAAAGAAATCTCTGTAGTATTTTCAGTTTATATAAAAAAGATGTAGGATGTTGCCTGAAGCATCTATTTTTTTCCTCCAGGCAAGATGAAGTGTCACAAATCAAGTTGTTTTTCTCACTAGTAATGTACTCCTTTCTCTTTCAATTTCTCAGAGAGCTGACATAGGGATTTCTGCCTTAACCATCACTCCAGATCGAGAGAATGTGGTGGACTTTACAACACGTTACATGGACTACTCGGTGGGGGTCCTCCTTCGGAGGGCCGAGAAGACGGTGGATATGTTTGCCTGTCTTGCTCCCTTTGATTTCTCTCTGTGGGCCTGCATTGCTGGCACAGTCCTTCTGGTGGGTCTGCTGGTCTACCTTTTGAATTGGCTGAATCCCCCACGACTGCAGATGGGATCGATGACATCTACCACACTGTACAACTCCATGTGGTTTGTGTATGGATCCTTTGTACAGCAAGGTAAGGAGAAAAACTACATTTTAATATAAAAAGGGAATAAGATGTTTCAAACCCTGTGCATTTAGTTAAGATAGCTCTGACTTCAATGAGAGTTCTTAAGGATCTGCATAGCAAAGCTCAGAAAGGAACATTTCCTCCTTTCTCCTAGTGGATTTCCAACACAGCAGGTTTCCAGCAGTAATGGTTCTTTGTCTTTTGATGTAAGTTCAGTTTCATTAACAAAAGCAAACGTGAATGTCAGAGATGAGATTCAGAAGGTGTTGCAAGATTACATTTTCTCCCCCAACTGTGATTCTTTGAAGAAATAGCTTTCCTAGAGTGCAACTATTTACTACTAGAGAGAGTACTGCTTAATTATTTATATGTATAAGAGAAGTTAGTACTTATTCTTTGTTCAGAGACATTATTTCATGTATTAAAAAGATTCATCAGCACTGAAAAGATTTTGATTAAGATTATGATAAAAACTTATTATCTTTCACTACGATATAATCTTTGGTAATGATTTAATGTACAATTTCATTCTAAAAATTAAAATTTGTTATTCAGTATCCAATCTACCTTGTTCTTTAAATTTGACTGGTTAATTCTCACTGTGTCAGAAGAGAATAAGATATTTTCTATTCCTTATTCGAGAGTACTGCCATCATAAAGAGTGGGGCTTGCAAACTCAGCCTACATATTGAACAGGGAGAAATGCATATTTTAGTAAACACATATGACACTATTGCCTGAATGTTTACAACTCTCAGAAGCATTTTAACTTTTATTTCTACCTGCTGTTGGGCCATCCATTAAACTTTTGCTCTAGTCTCACTTAAATAATCAAAGGTTTGTGTAGATTCTTTATCTTGAAGTCTTCATTTCTATTTGATCCCTTAAAACTTTCTAAGCATTCTTATTTCTTTCCTTCCCTATTAAAGTCCTTGACTAAGGTTAATAGTACCTGTATTTGTCACAGGCACTTTCAGTCTGTTCATTACTTTACTATTAAATAAATAACTATTTAATGCACACTATTTAAGTAGATATTTGCTAAGTTCTATATACCATGGTAAGTGAGAGACTTCGCCATCATTGAGCCATAAGACTAGTGGGATTCAGACATATAAACAATGAATTACAATTATGGGTGGAAAGTTCTGTGGTAGGGATAATCACAAGTTGTTAGCCTATCGTAGAGGTAGGAAAGCTCAGTATTTTTTAATGTAGAAAACAAGGCTTTGGGACTTACTACTATGTAAACAGAAATAAATTTTACTATGTAAGCAACTTGTTAAAGGAGAATGAAGATAAAAATAAGTGAGGGAGAATTTTGGATGAGAAAGCTAGCAATAAATTAGGATAGACTATGCAGAGGGAGCTGAGGTTAAATATATATAGTAGTTGTTAGGAATTCAAACAGGTATTTGCAAAAATGGTTTTTAGCTATTTAAAAGTATTCGGGGAAAGGCATGTTGAAATTTTTACTGTCGTAAAATTCTGGTTATAATGTGGAGAATAGATTCAATAAAGGCTGTGTGGAAAGTGAGACAAATGAGAAGACTGTCATAAAAATAGAGCCAAACGTTGATGTGGTACAGTGGAATTGGGAGTCAAATGAAGATTATTAATAGATGGACCCAAGAGAACGTGAATAACTATAAGTAGTGTAGGTGTTGCTGGCAAAGGAGAAAAAAGGAGACAACGTCTCTGGATTAGGAAATTATCTATATTGGATGGCATTTCTTTCAAATGTAAAAAGAGATGAAAGAGTAAATATGATAGAGAAGATCATACATTCATTTTGGTGCTTATTGAGTTTGAGGTATCTATGAAATACCCCAGAGGGTATTTCTAGTGCCTGGTTAATGGATTGATATCACTTATCAGAAGCACAGAAGAGATATCTGAGCTCAATATATATCGAGGAGATACTGGTACATAAGAAATAAATGAAGCCATTGAGGTTAGATCATTTGAAATAGTTGCTCTTAGCTGCGTGCTCCTCACCAAGGCCCATGGTCTGGAAAAGGCCTAGGACAGAGCCCTAAGGAAAGCAAAGGAGGCAGGAGCCCTGGGGGGTGGGGGGAGGATGGGACCAAGGAGAAAGGAGAAGGGAGAGCACGTGGTGGGGGTCATATGTGCCCAGATGTAGAAAATGCTTAAAAATGGAGGATTTCGTTGGCAGTATTGATTATGTCCAAGAACCAAGTATAATTAGGGATTCACCTGAATTAGAGGGCGCTCACTAGGTTTAGCAATAGACTAGTTACTGGAGCACAGGCTCGTCTTTGTTCCGTGGTGTCAGAAGCTACCGCTGGATGACTCCAGCTAGCGGCCGAAGCCTCTGAAGCCTTGTTCGGGTAGTTCACGTGTCTGAAGGTTAACGCTGCCTTCCAGAAAAGTGCTTCAGTTTCACTTGTGGGAAGCTGTCTTTCTGGGATGCTTCAAACGTTCTCACACTGGTCCATAGGGGGAAGAAATTATTAGAAGAGAAGGATTTTGTCTAGGTTAGTTTCAGGGAACGGCCTGGATGTGTTTGCCTCATTAATTTTTATAAGAATGAAAATAGATAAAAGTTATTAATTATAATAATATAAAGGGGGGGTGTATAAGTTTTTACTTAAAAATAAAAAAACTCAGGGGTGGGTAAACACACAATAGGACAAAGCAAATGATTTTTGACTGTCAGTAGCTTTATTTTTTATTATATGTTTGCAATACATAATAAATATCTTCATCAGGGGGGATTTGTGCAAATATGTATTGAATTTTCAGACTTTTTATTTCCCACAGTGATTTTAGATTTTAGATTTTTAGATAATTGTTGGTATGTTAGACTCCGGGTTACATGGAACCCTAAGAAAAGGATCAATAATGAAAATGTGATAGCATTTGAGTAGGAGAAAGAGAAAGTAGCAAAATATCTTGACATTAACGAACTGAAGTGGAAATGTGGGAATGAATGAGTTCGAGTGTGAGGTATTCATAAAATAGGAGGCCAAAGCCTAAATTTTTAAAAAGGAGGCAGAGGAGGGAAAGTTACAGATGTATGTGTTCAGATTCCTGAAGTTAAGAGTTTGTAAAGTACATCAAAGCTGATCGAGGAATTTAGAGAGAAAAGGGTTAGATGAACCATCTGCAATGATTTCTGGCTTAGACTACAAAGGAGGGAAATGAGCCATGTACCAAAGTTAGTTGTCAATAAGTGAGGAAGGATAATCAAATATTGATTGTTGTGAGCACTGCCTAGAAATAGGTTGCATAGCTAGATGTAATTAACCTCCATTTTCATCTCACTTCCATTCTATTCGATTTAGATATAATTTCAATAACTACCAATATGCACATAACTTGCAAATCTATATTATGTCCTTCAACTTCAGGTTTATATCTGTTTGTGTATCTAAACCTCTCTGTGGATATACATGACATAACATGAACTTCACCATGATAAAAATTGTCAAACCTCTTTAGCCTCTCGTACTCTTATTCCTGCTGAGGCAACACCAACCGCCTAGATGCACAGTAGGTGCTTTCACAGTAGTTTTGATTTTTTTTCCATTTTTTCATCATTTGTGTCCAATCATAATCAAGTCTATTTTACCTCCTAAATATTTCTAGAAGTAGAAATCTCTTCTCACTTAGAGAGATGGGCCTAGCTTGTTACCTAGCTGAGACCTATCTCATCTCTCACCTGAAGTAGCAGAATCTCTTACATCTTTCTTTTTCCAATTTTCCCCAGTCCATTATATGATACGCATATGTGCACATATATACAAGTTGTCACTGTCTTGAAAAGATCACCGTGTAATTTTCATCCTTCACATATTTCCATAATTCCTCAGTACCCTTGGTTTATAAAGTCCAAGCATTTCAGAGAATAAAGAATAGTCTATCCTCTGTCCCCAGGCAAATACCAAATTCTCATTTGTTAACACTAATGCCTTGTAGGATTACTGCTTACTATGAACAGATTTTAGTCCCTTAAACTTCAGATAAGGCTGTTTGCTGCCTTTCCACCTTTGCTCCTTCCCTTCCAATTAGTAGACACAGTAGGTACTAGGGAAATACTGTATTACCAACCTGCTTCATCTCTGCTCCTACCTTCTACTTTTTTTTTATTCATTAAGTTTATTGGTACATTTTAGGTATATAGTATGATGACATTCCTCATTGGGAATTTGTCCGTTCACATGATATAACTTGGTTCTTATTTTTCCCCCATTCCCCTACCCTCCCTTCAGCCCCTCCACCTCCTCCTATTTACAAAGACTTCGTTTCCATTTTTTCCTTTTCTCATATTTTTTCCTTTCCCTTTTTTTCCTTTCTCCTACCCTTCCCACTTACCCCATCCCATGAGATAGAAACTGGGTACAACCACACCCCAAAACAGATGTCACCAAGAGAATCAAAGTCAGTTACTCAAAGCCAAAAAACTCCAGATTTCAAAATCATTCCAGCTCCACTTCTAGCTGTCCTGAATTTGTTAGAAAACCAAATTGAAAGAGGACTTAATTTCCTTAAAATTCCACATACAGAGTATGAGTTGTCTTTAATTGTCACCAGAATTTCTTTTAACAGTAACAATTGATTTGGACCATTACAAACATTCCCTGTTTTAAAATTCACATGGCTTCCTTCAAAAATAGGATCCAAGGGTAAATTGGTGAAAGGTTTGCTCTCGGTGTCTTCTAGTCGTCTACCGCGCAGTGACGGAGAGAGCTCTAGCATTTACCAGTGAGGTTCATAACTAAACTCTCAGGAATTCCCTCATCTGTTGTAGAAGTGCTTCTGGGTCTTAGCCTGGCCTCCTCAGAGTGCTATCTGTGGCCATCCCTTCTGGAATATAGGCAGGACAGACTAGGAATTAATCAAAATGATTAACCTCTACAGTCCTGCAGCCTATGGAATGCTTTAAACACTAGAAAAGCCCCAGGAGAACATTTTAGGTAAGATTTTTGTTTGAATTTTCAAATGCATAGAACGTTAAAAACCAGCAATTTATTTTCTAAAATACTGCTCTACTTTTGGGAATAATAGCATTGGTAATACGCACAGGTTTACCTCATTCTATGCAAGAGGGGTTAATAACATAAGGTTTTGTAGTAGCTACTGGAAGTAAATCGTGTTGCTTTATAGTGTAACTATGTATGGAATCGCATGTCACCATTTCTGAACACTGACTCTCCGAGGGCGGAACCGCAGATCCCATCAACGCAAGTTGATCCTCATGTGTCAAATGTATGTGACTTCAGCTGTAAAATTACTGGATATTTATCTTAACATTGCTGAGAGGGACCTACTGTAAATGTGACGTCCTCGCGCTTCCCAGACCCTAAGGCCGAGAAGGTTCCGGGCCCAGGTGGAGGGCAGCGGTCTTTATTCTCAGGCTCCAGCTCCGCAGATCACACCGAGCACCCCGCTCCTGCACCGTGGGGATCGGGGCTCTCAGGGGAACCCCATAAACCAGGAGGACTGGGATTTGGAGCCAGCCACCCTGGTAATTAGCTCTGTGAAATGCTCATTTGTAGCTGTGTTTCGTAAGCTTCCAATTCGACAGCAAAGCCAGGCTCCGACCCGCCGGCTCCTCCGGCTCCTGCGCCCGGGACCCTAACGGAAGTGAGGGCGGCGCTGCCCAGGGCTCTGTCTTAGCCATAACTTCGACCTACAGCTCAGTAGCCCCTTCCCCTCTTACGGTTTCAAAACGTAAAGTACTGCTGACCTTGGGTTTGTTTTCTGTTACTTGTTTTCCTGTTAGGATTACTTGGGGACTTTGATAGTTTAAACTTTAACCTTTTCCTTGCTGTGTATGAGGATAAAGCTAAAGCTGTTATCAACTTCTTATTCTACGGATACTAACACGGGTTTTCAGTGTTTTGTTTTATTATTAATTTTGCGTGATGTGAATACCCTTTCCCGTCAATATTTGTATTATGGTGCTATATATTTGGTAATGATCCTTTAATATTGGGAAGGGATTTTAAAAATACTGTGATTAAACTGGGTTTCTTCCTTTGATTTTCATATTTTAAATAAAGCCACAGTCATTTATACAAAGGATAAGCGTCTGTCCCGAGGCAAATCTTTTGAGGACAGAAGTCAAAGCAAACTGCATAAGATTTTTACATCATTTCTGTATGTATTTGATATATAGATCAATATCTGTACAAATTTAATCTTTTATTTTCTGGTAACGTGATCATTGAGAGAGTGTTTGAAACTTTCTCATGAAGTGTATATAATGGCGTGAAAACTTCCTTCAGAGAAATTTATGTTCCTTTCATTTTTACCAAACTGCAAATTTTCAGCATGGATGTGAAAAGCATTAAAATTATAACTTTGTGTACAAGATGAAAATAATTCACTAAATTTGCCCTTTTTTACACAAAATAAAATGAAAGTTAAGCTGTAAAAAAAAAAAATACAACACAGTATCCTGTTCATTTTTATAGACCTTTGTGCACATTTCACTGTCTTGTCCATACTGTTTAATAAATGAATAAATGCTAAATACCTATTCAAACATGGAGTTAACTGTGATGCTGTATTTATTAACTTAAAATATAAAATTAAAATTTCAAAAAACTTTTCCCCAATGACCTGAAACTCACTAAACCAAGGAGGAAGTTATTTGTAATATATGCGTATATGTTTTTAAGAAGGTAGGAGCAGTAACATAAATAAGGTTTCCTAATGGCTGAATAATTATATTTGAGGATGTTCACAAGCATATGGGTTGGCTCTCTGAATTCTTCCTCAAGGTGACCAAATTTCAGTAAATTTTGGGGTGTACCCAACAGAAAAGATGAATAAAATTAGCCATGTTAATGTGCTTGTCTAGTTCCATAAACATACAGCAGATATCAAAAGTTATAGCTATTTTAAGTATCTTTCTATCCCAACTGCCCCCTAAATGACTTGACAGCCTGTATGTTGACTATACATTTATACAAATTCATAATGCTGAGTAATGCTGAATTGCATATAAATCACTACTTTAATCTTTGAGAAGCTGCTATTCTTTCCCTTGATAACAATGAAAAGGTGAATTCATTAGAAGATACTAAGAGCATCTTTATGTTCTGAATAAAAGTAAATTTAAGGACCGGGAATTTAGCTAAGTGGTGCTGCTGCCTGCCACGTAAGCAAAAGGTCCTGAGTTCGATCCCCGGTACCAAAAAAACAGAAAGGAAAAGACGAAAGTAAATTAAGGAAAGACTCATAAACCCTATGAAAAAATAGAATCTATCAATGGCAGTGTCCTTGCATCAGTAATGATGTTAGAGTTATTGATGACTTCCAGTAAAAATGTAGTCTCTTAAAGAGAGTGAGCACAGAGTTGGGGATTTAGCTCAGTTATTCTGCTGCCTGCCTTGTAAGTGCAAGGGCCCAAGTTCTATCCCCTGTACAAAAATTAAAAAAAAAAAAGAGTGAGAACAGCTATTATTTCAGAATTACAATCTTTATTGAGCCACTCTACTGGGTGGGATAGAGATAAAAAGGCATTTTCATATGTTATCAGATGGATTTCTGAAAAAGAGTTCAGGCACAGCTCAAAGCAGGAAAATATTAAATAGATGTGAGTTATTAACTAATCCTGATTTCTTTTAAAAAATCAGTACATTCAAAACATTCTGGGAACACAGCTCAGGGAATTCAACTGTGCAAAAGCAGTATGGTCCATTATAGAGATAAACTCAGTGCATCTGTTTGGCTGGAACATTAGAGCTTATGAGTTAGGTTGTTAAATGCACACATGAGAGACACATTTTATACAAGGTCTGTTGTCATTCTCCCTTGTCTTCATATCTACGTGTGTCTCCTTGAAATGAACATATTTTTAAAAAGCTAGAGTTGAGCTTTGAAGATCTCTTAAGTTTAGCTTATTGGCAGTGACCCCGTGGAGTCACTAAGCCATGGGCTTGTCCTCTTATGACTGATTTATCGGCAAACATTCAATAAGTCCCAACAACATTCCATGATCCTATTGGATCAAAAGGAAAACATGGAACAACAAGGTGGTAACTGGCTTAATAAATAAATACGTGCTGGCCATACTATAGGCTATGCTTTGCCCAAATGTTTGTTTAAAGCAATAAATAAGAAAGCCCCTCTAGCATGTTCTGTATCATGTCAATAAATCTTAGACAAATTAGGACGAAAATAAACCACTTCTGGTGAGAGGAGTAGATATAATTGTTGAAAAGAATAGAGAAGGAAAATTCCTTTGGTAGTTTTGTCAAAAATTAGTTCTACAGATGCTGGCGATAGAAAGAAGGAGGGCTTTTAGGAGTAGTCAAAATTCTAAAAATAACTTGCTGCTGTAGCACAAGTGTTGATGTGAGAGGAAACCCACCAACTTTGAAATCCCGGGATAATTTTTGGAAGACAGTAAAGTTCTTCCTGCTGCCAGATGGATTATACTATTACAGAGAATTGCAACTTTCTCATTTCCACAAAAAGAAAAGGCACTCCTGTCTATTGAATTAGGCAACAGAAGTGATTGATGATGAGAAAGAATCTCTATTTAAGATTTTGCCTAGGAGAATAACTAGAGGAGACATCCATTTTTATAGAGAAGATATCAAATATATGAAATTTACCAGTGTTCTATTCACAAAAGCCCAAAGGATTCGAGGCTTGGAATGAAGTAGCTAACCCCATGCCTTTGTAGTGTTATCTGAGATTTCACATTCAATTTGGATATAACCAAAATAATACTGGCTAGCTCTGTTGTTTACTGACACTAATGAACACAGGGAAAATGAGAATAATTACCAAAGACAAGTTCGTGGCACTATAAAGACAGATTTCTTTCTACGTTCTGTTGTTACAGGTAGTAAGTGAAAAAGGCTCTCTGTGATTTTTGTTTAAGTTGAAACAACATCTCTGTTGTTGTTAATTGTGATTGGCGGTCCTTCACAGAGGCAGTGCCAAGCACTCGGAGGGCTGTCATATCCACTTGAGACTTCCCCCGTGTTGATTTAACACATAACAAGGTGCCCATTGTCTTTATTTTCATCATCAGAATTTTCCACCTCTAAAGAAAAATAACACTGAATTCTGATGCTGAGAGTTCAAATTCTACAAATGAGAAATGAGTAATATGTGTAACTAGAAAATAATGTCATGATACTAAGATGTGAATGCATTGGTTTACATTCCCAGTGAACTGTAATGAGCTAGAAATTATTCTATGAACTACATGCCTGCAATATGCTCCTGGAAAACCAACTCGTCCTGACTTGAGCCACAAAATCCTATCTTATGCTGAATAGGGCTTTTTCAAGGATAAAATGAATCTAAGACATAAGGCACATATCAGATTTTGGCTTATAAAATAAGAACTTATAGAAATAATGTGTTCTTGATTCTTTTAAGCTACCTAAGAATACATTCCATAATTAAAAGCACTATTTTATTATTTAATAAGACAAAGGATTGGCAGAGATAATAAACAAATTAAAAAATGATTTATTGAGAGAAGTTACACTTTCACAAGTCTAAATTTAGTGAAAGGAAAAGCAAATGTTACAGGCCCTTTAAAATAACATTGTCTGGCGGGGGATTTAGCTCAGTGGTGCTGCCACCTGCCTTGCAAGTGCAAGGACCCAGGTTTGATCCCCAGTGCCAAAAAAGGAAAAAAAAAAAAAAGGTGGGGGAGCTCTGTCAAAATACCATTGTCTGACATCTGAGTTATACTCAGCATTTTTACAGTACCATATCATAATTCCCCTCTGCTTAAGTAATAAAAATAGGAATAGACATTGCCAAAGATAAATTTATTCTAAAGGTGATTTAGTATTGATCTAAGTTAAAGTATTGGGCTCCAGGGACTGCAGGTAGTGGTGGAGAACATCAATTTAGAATATAAATTTGGAAATTCAGTCTCTGTTTGGCATGACCAAACCTGAATCTATTCTCTCCCTCCCTTTATGAATATGTAATTAGAGGCTTCATAATGATAGCTGCATTTCTAAATGTATAGGAAACGGACTACAGCCTTCAAAAATAAAATCAGCATGATTTGAAAGTGAAAACTTAGCATTTAAACCATCTCTGTAAAACATCCTTATAAGCTAACTCCTGTGTAGCTAATGCTATATTTAGGGTTCCCATCTCCACCTTACAAAACTGATGGGCAGTAAAGCCTGTGTGTTTGTTAAATACCTTTGAATGTGGCACAAACTTTTGTTGAATTTTTTATAATTATAAAGCTGAAAAATTCCAAAATGTAATAGAAAGTACAAATTTACAGTATGTATTTCATCATATATACCATTCTCTTTTTTGTAAACCACATTCTTTGTGACACTTTCTGTGCGTGTGTCAAATTTTAACAAAAGACCAATGCATGACCCCTGTTTGTCCATTGTGGACACAAAAAATTGATCTCTGATTTGTAGCCATGGCCAAAATTTATAGGGTCTCTATATTTACAACTCCATCTCTCAGACTCTAAATTGACAGTCTATTTGGGACCACTGTACAGTTTGTTCT